AAAACCACTCAAAATATTAATGATGATGTCACCCGCATTCATTCATCCTTATTCATATGAAGTGAGAAAGTGATTGATCATGCCGATTAAAAATAAAAGAAATGAGTCAAACTTCAACCCTAATAAATCATTACTATATCACATTAAATTGTTTCCTTCCTAAACATTTTGTGACTAGTGACTTTCAATAACTATCCACAATAAACTAGTCATAAAATGATCAAGAGTTGAATTTAGCTTAACTTTAACTAACCCTAATTAATTAGTCCATTAATGATGTTACAAAAAACATAGAAATAGATGGAGCCCACACAGACAATGACTGTCTTGATTAGATTTAGATGGATGGATGGAGTTAGATGACCCCATCATTATCATGATAATCATGTGACCTATCTATGATGATCACAAACAATGGACCCCACTTTTTTTTTTATCTTTTTAAAAAAAAGTTGCTATGTTATGAAAGTTTATGATACTACTGATACCCTTTGTTTGTCCTTGTATTGTATTGACACGACTAGACTCTTACAAAAACATGGATGTGTCAAATTAGTGTCAACGCAACGCCGTTAGATCTTTGTTTGTAAAAGTTGTTAGATTGTCTCTGTCGTCAAAAAAACCTTCTATGTGTTTTTCTGATTTCCACAGCTAATACTCCTTTGGCTTCTAACTTCTTTCGGATGCTTTCTCATACATTATTTTTTTTTTAAAAGATTTACTCTTTATTGTATTCTTCTTCAACTCGAAACAATAATTTTAGAGATTAAAAGTACTGTATTATAAATTTAAGGTTTAATATTTTTTTTATCTCTTAATTTTATTTAATATTTTGCATTGATATTTTAACTAAAAAAAATTATATAGCGTTGATTAACTAACATTCTATTACATATTTTAATTTTTTTCATTAATTTTTTATTAAAAAAATTTTGAATATGGTCTTGTTGAACCATTTAAAGCTGACATAGAATTTTTTATTTTATATTGATTTAAATATTAGAAATAAATAAAATAAGAAGCTAAAAGGTATTAGGACAAAAGTCAGTATTAGTTTGCATCAATTTGATCCTAAAATTAAGTTTATTGTGAGAGTTCAAAATCTATATTTCAAATTTCGTTGAAGACAATTCTAAAATAGTTGACAAAAACAACAAAGTTTTAGAGCGAAAAGACGATTTAAGAAAGATACATCGACCGAGACATTCAACTTGTTTAAAAATTTAGTTGATGATTATGTTTTTGATGTTTTTCGCAAAGAAGCTGAGAACTGTGGTTGATTGTAAGGTATGGATTTTTTAACTTGCTTAGAAATTTTGTTGAGATCTATGTTAATTTATTCTAAATCTGATTTTTTTCAAGGTATGTGATAATGAAGTCTTGTATGATATTTGCCTCCTTACCCTCAAGCTCACAATCCCAATTTGTAAGTTGTTTTTCAACCACTATGCAGTCCAAAATAATGTTTTCTCTTATGTGTTTTTAGAGAAGTACATCTATTGTTTGTGGTGGGGATTGTAGAACTTGAGGTTTGGTTTAGGGGATTTGTAAAATCTTCTCTTCATTGTTAATTTTGTTTTGTTATCATATGACCACTATAACTTGTTTTTTTTTAATGTAGGAACCTTATAATGTTTCATAAGAAATGGAATGGAAACGGTCACTCTCCATGGTCTTCTCCCAAACAAGACAACAAGAGAAAAGAGATGAAGAGGTTTTGTCCTTTAAAGAAAAAAATTATTTTCACACAAAAACTGTTTATCTGGCATGCCAACTCAGCAATAGTTAACATTTTTTCACACAAACTAACGGTAGGGATCAAATCGTTTAATGGAAGTGGAGTTAAGGATCATTATGTAACTTTTTTTAGTTCAGGGGACAAAGGAAAATTTTGCTCAAAGTTAAAGGATCTAGGGACTAATTAAATTAATTTTATACTATCATTCAATATAATCATAATATTTAGTCAGTATTTTAAAATTAAAAATATGATTTGATAATAGGGTGTTCATAGGCCCCCCCTTTTTTTCTTTATATAATTATAAATGGTGTCTCACATTTTTTCTTAATGAATAGTTTAATCTATTACCGTTATTTTTTAAACATCAAATGTCTAAATGCGCAATAAAATTTATCATAAACATATTTGCAAAAACCTAAATTACATTAAAGTAATACTAAGAATTGAATATTGAACTTGCAACTTACAAGAATTAACATGAGAACATTAAAATTTGGTATCCTAAATAAGTTAAAATCGTTAGTTACAAAATAAAAGATATTCAAAAGACTGTAATTGAAGAAACCAAGATTAAGAAAATCAAAGTCACCAGCAATCAAATTATAAAAAAAGTGTCAAAAAATACTCACACAATAACCAATGGTTTTGTGGGTTGGATGTTGGTTTATCCAAAACCCAATTATTTTGAATGGTTTTTCATTTTTGAAAACCATATTTATCCAATAATCCGATCCAATCCATTTTTTGGAGTCAGTTTAGGTGGATTTTAAGAGAGGTTATTAGCATGCTCCTTTGGTCTTTTAACCACCATACGTATTTTCTTAAATATTCTTAGGTTTTGAAGATATATCCTCGGACGCATTTTTTTATCTAACTTAAGATTTTTTCGGAGATACATCTCTGAAATCACCATACAACACGTATTTGATTCGTGTTTTAGTCTGACCCTCCAAATTTACAAATAAATTATTTTCGGAGATATTTATTGCAAATTTGGAGGTCCGACTCAAAAACGAAAAAAAATACGTGTTTTATGCTGATTCCGGAGATATATTTCCAGAAAAATTCAAAGTTTAGTATAAAAAACGTGCGTACGGAGATATATCTCCGAAAGCTGAGGGTATTTGAGAAAACGTGCATGGTGGCTAAGAGATCTAAGGGGTGGGATAAAAAAATCTCCGATTTTATTAAATTTATTGGATTTATCCAACTCATATACACTCTATTTGATAAAATAAACGTCTCTGATTGACTGACAGTCTAAAATATTTTAAAGTTATTGATGAATATTGTTTTTTCTTGTAACTTAATTGTGGATTTAAACTCTATTTAATAAAAATAATTTATAATTTATAATTAATAAATTAATTATAATATTTGATAAATTAGCCGTTTGAATAATTGATAAATAAATGTAAGATAATATAAAAAAAAATTAATGAACAATTTAGTAATTATATTGTATTTTATATATTACTATTATTGAGTTAGTTTTTATTTAATAAAATTAAATGAAATAAAAAAAATACATGCAAATCATTTTAAATATATAAGTAAAATTAAATGTAATATCAAAATGTATTTAAACATGAATGTTGAAAATGGGGAAGAGAATGAAGAAAATGTGAGGTGAGTGGAAATAATTTATATTTCTCTCATCCCAATATAAAATATTTTGGATATTTTACATAAATTGAAAATTTTATTTATGTTGTATAAAAATATTATAGATGATTTTATAATTTAATATATATAAAAACTAAAAAATTTAAAAATTTAAAATGAATAAGTAGGATATACTAATATTAAAAAATATTATTATATTAGAATTATAAAATTTTGTTAAAACAACTCAGTTATTAATATATATATATATATATATATATATATATATATATATATATATATATATATATATATATATATATATATATATATATATATATATATATATATATATATATATATATATATATAAATAGGGTAATGTTAACTTGTGTCCTTGGGGCATATGTTAAGAACTAAATTAAGAAATATCATCTTGGAAATTGTGTACAAACTTAAATTAAAGTATAAAATTAATTTTTAAATTGTTTTTTCCAATACAAATTTACTAAAAATAGTTTACTTAACATGTGCTCCAAGAGCGCAAGTTAACATTACCCAAATATAAATTCGAAGTCTCAATATCCTATTATTCATTTTTAACAGGACTCCAACTAATAAGGTGGACTCCGCAAATTAAACTACTTAAAAGAAAAGTTAAAATTGCAAAGTGATTTAAAATTTGAAAAAAAAAAGTTTCAAAGTGACTTGCAGAGCTAAATTATTAGCTTAGAAGAGTGAGTTGTAGAGCCAAATTATTAGTTTAGCTAGTAGTACAAATTATATTAGTGGGTTTACGGTAATCATGATTATTATTATTAAATGGCATGTAGTAACATTTTCAATGGCATAAATTAAATAGAGTCCTGACAGAAGAATTTGGTGTTTATCACAATTATAGTGATGTGATGATGTTATATGGCCCACCATAAAACCCCACTAGTCACAAGAGCCTATAAATTAAAAACAGTGTTTAGGTTTATATTGTTGGGGTCCATTCCCAAATTCATCAGTGTGCACCCCACCACCCCACACACATCCATGATTTCCTCACATTGAAACAAGGACCAGTACTACTACAATTTTATATAATTATAATACTCCAAAACCTAGCTATGTACTACTAGTACTCATTTTTTAATTAATTACCACATTACTCTGCGTGCCAAAACAAATCATAAACATAAATACTATACCATAAAATAATAATAATAATTTAATTAAATTACTAATTAGTCCTTGAGAATTCAAAAGTTGAAAGAATGAGTGAGAGATAGGCTTTTGTTTTTTTTTGTTGACCCCATTCTCCTCCATTTTTTTTTTTGTGAAATTTTATTTCTGTTTTTGCAGAATATAAACACATATATAGACACATCTCACATGGAGGACCATATCCCATTACATCTCATAATTCTTTCTTTCTTCCCAAAGATAATAAAATATTATATTATATAATAATAATAAAATCTATAAATTAAAACTCCCCTATGGTAATTTAAACTTCAGGTTTTTTAACTTTTAAAAAACTTGGATGAAAAAAAAGGACAAAAGAAAAGAAAATTGAAAATCAAACTAAAATTAAAACTTGTTGTTCTTGTTCTTCTCTTGTCAGCTTCATCACAATCTTGATCTTGTTCTGGTTCTTGGTCACATTTCACATGATACTGCAACTTGAAGTATTTTCGTCGTTGAAGAAGTTGGAATATGGATCTTGAGGATGTTGCGGTGGTGGAGGGTAGCTATACGGTGGAGGATACATGTAATTCACCGCCATTGGTGGTCTTGCATACATCATTGGTTGAAATCTATCGTTTCCTCCTCCACCGGCAGGTATGGCTCTTTGTTGATTCATCATTGCAGCCATGTATTGTTGTTGTTGGTAAGGATTTCCACCCATCATCATCTCCTGACCAGCACCACCGCCTCCTCCGCCGCCTTGGAAATATCCTCCGCCGCCAACACCGGCAGCGGCGGCAGGTAAGCCTTGAACAGCTGGAATGTTACTACCTCCTCCCATTTGGTTCATCATTGGCATGTTGTTTCCCATTGCACCACCTCCCATTGGGATACCACTCATGTTGTTGTTGCCCATTGGGCCCACATTAGGATGATGACCAGCACCACCATTCATGTTTGGAAATCCATTGTTCATCATACCTTGAAAACCACCTTCTCCTCCCATTACATTTACCTTTTTACCCCCATTATTATTGGGAATTCCACCATTACCACCACCTCCACCTCCTCCACCAACATTCTTGTTTCCATTTTTACCCTCTGGCATTCCACCTCCATTTTTACCACCACCATTGTTTTTGTTACCTCCACCTTGATTTGGATTATTTCCTCCACCACCACCGCCGCCACCACCACCGCCGCCACCACCTCCACCTTTCTTTCCTCCATTTTTACCATCATTTCCACCACCCATGCCATGAACTTGAACGGGCACAGGCCCACTGCCGCCACCACCACCTTTCTTCCCATTACCTCCACCATTTCCACCACCACCACCCTTCGGACCATTCATAAGCTGTGGATGATTTCCTCCACCGCCGCCACCGCCCTTGGGAGCATTCATAAACTGTGGATGATTTCCACCGCCCATCATCATATGAGGAGGACCATTAACATTACCATTACCACCCATTGGAAGCTTCATCTTATTCAAAGGATGTTGTTCCATTTCATCATCAAACTCATCATCAGTATACTCGTCATCATCAAACTCATCCAACTCATCATCAGACATATCTTCATCATCAGGCAAATTAAACTTAACAGCTTTCATATTTGGGTTCTGATTACCCGGCGGCATCTTCATATTCATATCCTTGAATTGAGGCACTTTCAGATCTTGAAACCCCTTCATCTGCTGAAGTTGTTGCAGATGCTGCAACTGCTGCTGAAGCTGTTGCTGCTGTTGTTGTTGCTGCTGAAGTTGTTGTAGTTGAGGATTCTGTCCTTGGCCGCCGCCACCACCGCCCTTCTTTCCGCCACCATTTTGGTTATTTCCATCACCCTTTGGACCCTTGTTACCATTATTATTGTTTCCTCCACCTTTTCCATTGTCAATTTGCATGTTCTTCATCTGATTCGCAATGTTATTGTTCTGGTTATTGTTGTTAGCCTTTGGAGCACCCCAAAGCTCTGCATGTTTCCCTGATTTCGTAAGCTTCTTGATGAGAATTTTTGGGTCCACATTCCCAGAAACGGTCACCTTCCCTTGCTCAGCATCTATCTCAGTAGTAAAAACACCTACATAACAAAATTACACAAATATAAAATAAACATCTCTCTTCTACAAATTCAAGATTTGGGTGGTGGAAAAATTAGATTTTTCTGATAAAAAACAAAGCTTTTCACAATTTTTTTCATATGCTGGTGATACGAGTGAACAGAAGGATTACATACCGTCAATCTTCTGCAAGATTTTCTTAACTTTTTGTTTGCAACCGTCACAGTGTATGTTCACTTTGAGAACACATTTCTGCATGCACAAGCAATCCCAAAACCAAAAACAGAATAAAGAGAAAATTTCATCGTAAATAACAAGAATTATACAACAAAAAGGATAAAACAAAACTCTTTACTTTATCGGAAATGACATATGCATATAAACACATACATAGAAACATACAAGACAAAAATGAAAAAGAAAAACAAGAAACTAAGGTTAACAAGTAAAAAAAAGGTTCAAAAGTAACCGTTCAAAGTTAAAGCTATGAAGAAAAAATGGTACCTGAATCTTCAAAATCTCTTCTTTACTCATGTTTTTCAAAAGGGTTGTAACTAAGATGAGGAAATGTAGAAAGAGTGAGAACAGATCTGAGAAACTGTGATATGAGAAATATAAGAGAATAAGGTAAAGAGGTTTTATAGTTTGGAAGATTTGGGAAGGATGACAGAAGCAATGAAGAGAAAAGGGAGTGTGAAGAAGAAGAGTGAGAGGAATAGAGAGAGAGAAAAAGAGGTTCAAAAATGGTGGGTAGTCATTAAAATGAGTCCTGTATTTCAGGGTGAAAGTGAGAGAGAGAAAGATGAGAAATGTGAGGCATGAGTGAGTGAGTGAGTGAGAAGAAGAACAGAGAGAGAGAGAGAGAGAGTTGAAAATGTTCACTCTTTCTTTTGTGCCATTATTTATGGGAGTATTTGGTAAACATGATGCTCAAGTTTCATCTTCGGAGACTTTCTACGTTTGCTAACACCCTATTTTAACCGTGGCATGTGGCATGTTCAACTTTTGATTTTGCTAAGATTCTAGTACAAGATTTCTAAAACACACACACAATCTAAAACATTTGTGTGTTTGAAAAATAGATTTTGCGTAAATAATTTTGTAAAATGAATTTTAATTTTATTTATTTAAATCAAATGTTTTTATTTGAATTTGGAATAAATACATCCGAGTTTTATTTTTATTCAAAATTAAAGAGACTACAATTATTCCACTACAAATTTTCTTAATAGGTATAGAAAAATGACAAATGAATTTATAAATAAGGACAAAAGTATTTATTTAAGTTACTTGTATTTTCTTCTTTTTCTTTTGAGTTGTCATTGTTTTATAAAATTTATCTTTAATTTCAAATTCTCAAATTATAGCAAATGTTTTTTTAAGTTTTATAATTATATTTGTATTTGCTAAAAAAATATAATAAAGTAGTTGAAATACTGACACGTAGTGGATAGATGTTATATACGATGTCAGGACATCAGGATGTCGAATGCGATGTCAAGACATCGTAATAGCAGAATTAACAATGAAAAATTTAAACAAAATTGGAAAAAGTAAATAACACAGATCAATTGTTAACCTAGTTCGATATAACATCACCTACATCAGAGGGTTCCTAAGTCAGAAAGAAAATTCACTATAAGAGTATTAGTTTGAAGCTCTTATGTAAACAATCTCTGGGTTACAATCTTTGCACCTAATCACTACCCGTGCAATTTCTATCTAAGACGCTCTTAGATATGAGACCTCTTTCACTCCCCCTCAATCACACAACAGTGATGCTAAATCAATAAGTCAAAGAAGAAGACACTTTTCAAGAAATAGAATGCACTCTTACTTAAAAGTTTATGAGTGATTCGCAAATACAACTCAACTAAAACAATCCAGCCCTAATATCAATATGATACAAGAGTGGCTCACAAACAACAATGAACAACCAAAAACCTAAAGAACTCTCACAAAAATACGACTACCCTTTCTTCCACTTTAGGTTTAGATTCTTCTTATAAATAACTTTCGAAAAAGAATAGACTTGATGAGCAAATCAGGCTAAATTAAATAACAAATCCATAATATTTTAGAAAATAATATATTATTAAATGCAGATCCATAATATATTATTTCTTAAAGTTCAGATCCAAATCAAATCTTCTGTAGAAACAAATCTCATGTTTCTTTAAATGATATGTCAACCATTCTTAGGAAATATTGCACAGCTGAAACCGAACTTTGAGCTTCTAAAAATACGCTCTTCTTGAACTATAATATATTGGAATCAAATCTTCAAAGAATCTTCACTAATAAAACCAAATCCTCCAAAACATGAAACAAGATCAGCTTCAGTCTCACACCAACATGTCACGACATCTGGTACGACATCTCGCTGGAATACTTGAACAAAATCTATTTCAGTATCGTACCAACATGTCACGACATCTGGTACAACATATCGCTAGAATACTTGTTATAAAAAAATGCAGCCAATCATAAAGCATACAACCTAACAATCTCCCCATTTGGCAAACTTCGGCTAAAATAACCTTTGAAAAACATACCATGTAACATCCAATAAACTCAAGAGAACTTTGTCAAAGAAAAAAAAGCACAATAAACAAACTTGGAACTTCTCCGAGATACATCAGAGGCATACGCAGCAGAAAAATATGAAACCAACCTCACAAAGAATGACACATTAGAGAGAAATAAACTTTTACAACACAAACTTTCTGTAGAGAAAAATACATCTCCTAGACAGAATGTCAAGACATTAAATATGACATCTGGCACAAAATCATCTCTAGTCAGGATGTCAAGACAACAAAACATCATGCTCCCCCTAAACACTAGTTCGGGATCAAAAGCAAAAACTACTACTCCCCCTTAAGGGCAAATCAAGCATACAAAAATCTACCAAACTACTCCCCCTTTTTAGCTATAATTTTGACAACACAACCATACATTCACCAAGAGAAAAAACATCCTTTGTAGCAAATATAAAAGCAATAAAAAAATAGGGCACAACAGATGTCAGCACTGCTATCTATTTCCTCATCTTTATCACCACCTTACCAGATGTCACAACAATGTCTGGCACATGTGTCCCTACAAACAATCTATAATCCAAAGAAAGAGAAGATTCCTTCCTACATGCAATATCATAACTAACCAATATCCCAGAGTGTTGTAAACACCTTATCAGTCACTTTCACCTCCGTTTGCTCCTCTTCGCTCCTACCCATAAACTTGTTGATAATTTCAGGAGAAAATTCCACACACTTACCTTTGTCATAAACCTTCCTATACTCCTTGCTCATCTTACTGTCACAGTCCTCAGAAATATGTATAATGAATTTCTTCATCGGCATCTCATAACAGTCACCAAAACCACAAACACTTTTAATCAAACATGCATCCTAAATAAGATTCACCACCGAACAGAGGAAAGAGAAAGTATTTATTGCATTCCCTCATGTGTATAATTGTTATAACTCCTCAAACGAGCAAATTCCCAATTCACCCCTTAACATCTCAAACTGATTTGCATCCAAAGCCTTAGTAAATATGTATGCCAATTGCTTCTCCGTAGCCACATGATCAAGAGTAACAATTTTATCCTCAACAAGATCCCTAATAAAATGATCACAAATGTTAATATGCTTTGTCCTGCTATGTTGGATGGGATTCCTAGATATATTCATTGCACTCAGATTGTCACAATATGATGTCATGACTATTAGAATAAGAGTGGTTATGCATCTGGCCTTAAGTTTTGATGATAATTGCACATGTTATCTTAGAGAATAATTCGATACTTTATGGTTTCTGTATAGTGTGTAACTTTTGCTAAACAGGATATGGATATGATTTAAAGGCGTGTGGCATTATCAGATCATTATCTTAACACTCTGGAAGAAAACATGTGTTGTGTACAATATTTAATGTCATTATTCTGAAATGCTTTCTAATACAATAGTTCTGAAGAACGTGTGTATCAAAGCTCCTGACTGAGACTCTATAAGTAAGCCTTGAAAGCTTTCTTAGAGATATGCTTTTATCGTAACAAGTTTCTGAAGACAAAGTTGTGTTGAACAAAGTTCTGAAGATTCTAAAGACATCATTTCTAAAGATCAAGCTCTGAAGTTTCTGAAGACAATGTTATGTTGAACAAAGTTCTGAAGATTCTAAAGACATCATTTCTAAAGATGAAACTCTGAAGTTTCTAAAGACAAGGTTATGTTGAACGAAATTCTGAAGATTCTAAAGACATCATTTCTAAAGATAAATCTTTGAAGTTTCTGAAGACAAACTCCTGTTGAACAAAGTTATGAAGACAAATGTGTGCTTAAAAAAGTTCTAATGATTCTAAAGACAAGGTTCTGCTGAACTAGTCCTGACGTCTCTGAAGACATCACTTCTAAAGACCAAGTGTTGAAGACTCTTAAGTTAGTTCTGTTGAACGAAGATTTGAGATTCTAAAGAACTTAGGTTCTGAAGTTACAAGTATTGATCTCTCTACACGCTTCATCAAATACACATATGAAGCCTCTAAAGATTAGAAGACAGAAGAATGGTTTGCATGTTTCAATGAATATAATAGTACAAAGTAGTTTGTGACCACTACCCAGATTAGGTGGCGCAAGGACGACTTTTTGTATTATGATGTGACCATTCCTGTAATTGAATGTTGGGATATTAAAGTTGGAATATGTTTCCTATTATACCCTCCAACAGATCTATTCTCAAGCTCTATTTATTGAAGATCTCAATGCTTGAAGAAATGCTGCTAATGAGCAACTCGTGAGCCAGAAATATAAAGCTGATGTAGTTGCTGCTACAAGCCAAGTATAAATGATAAACTTTGAAGTGCTAAATACTGAAAAAGTTAAAAGAGAAAATCATGAGAGAATAACTCGAAAGTGCTGAAGGATACACGATAGTATGTGTGCAAGGCGGAAGCAAGCACCAAGTTATAAGATCAAGATGAAGATTCTCAAATGCTCAAAAAATTAGAGTACTGCTCTACAAGAGATGAAAGAAGCATTAAAAGAACCTTTTAAGCTCTCAAAACTTATGCTTATACGATGTAAATCTCTAGGATATTATTCTTAAGATAGTTTTGTGAAATAGTAAAGAGTTGTTGTTCATATCTTGCTAGAAACACTTTTGTATTATTGTACTTCAATTGTGTCACCTACTTGTAAAGAAGCAATTCATGTACACACCTTTGTAACACTTTTCAAAGTGTAGATTTCTCAAGTGACTAAGTCGTTAGTCTGGATACTTGAGAGGCTAAGTTATTTTCAAACATTTAGAAGTTGTAACATTTCTAGGTTATTGGATTAAATCCTTGTCTAGGGCGAAATCACCTTGGTGGGTGGACTGGAGTAACTTTGTTAAGAGTGAACTAGGATAAAAATAATTGTGTCAATTTATTTTCACTGTCTTGTTAGCAGTGATATTTTCACAGTCATTATAATACGGTTGTCTTTTGATAACCGTGCTTAGTTCTCATGTCACTTTGTGCTTTTCATGAC